AAGCTGGCTGCGGAAGAGGCCTAACCTGTTAATTACAACAGAACAGCTCCCAAAGCCCTGAACGTGGACTTCTCTGGAGAACTTGAGCAGGTTTCTGATAGGATAGCCTAGACCTGCAATGAGCTGGTGTGGGATCCCAGCACCTCCTCTCAGGTCCTGTATGCAGAAGTTCTCATGGGTTTCCTTGAGACTTGGACAGTATAAAAGGACTCAGATGCCAAAATATGCGGGTTATCATGGCTTTCTCCACCATAGCTGGCCCTTTATTCTCCAGGGTGTAACTTTATCTTGCTTTTTTCTCTTACTCAGCCAAAGCTTGTTCTGCAGAGCCAGTTTCTCTCTCACTTTTCACTTTTACTTTTTCAAATAAACTTTCTTTATGCTTGTTTTGTTCAATTCTTCATTCAAGACAAGATGAACGTGGAATCCAACTCCAGAGGAGAGGCTAGCAACCCAAAATCAGATAACATTTGATTGATTGGTGAGTCACTTTTAGAAGGAGCTAGCTGATTCCATTCACAACAGCATCAAGAAAAAGTAAATATTTAGGACTTAATCTAACCAAGGAAGTGAAAGACCTCTATAATGAAAATAAGTTTTCTGAACAAGAAGATTAAAGAGGACATCAGAAAATGGAAATACATCTGCTATTCCTGGATAAGCAGAACCAGTACATTGTCAAAATGTCCATACTTCTGATATACAAATTTAATGCAACTGCAAGCAAAACACCAATAGCAATTTTCACAGATTTAGGGAAAAAAAACCTTAAAATTCATATGGAACCAGAAGAGTCCCAGAATAGCAAAAGTTATCCTGAGCAACAAGAGCAAAGCAGGAGGCATCAAAATTCCTGACTTCAAGTTAAAAAGCTACAGTGATTAAAAACAGCATGGTACTGACATAAAAACAGACATGCAAATTAATGGAACAGAATAGAAGATGCAGAAACAACCCAAGGTACATTCAGCTCTCTGATCCTTGACAAAGGGGCCAAAACTGTATGCCAGAAGAAAAAGAGCTTATTTATCAAATGGTGTTTTGCTAAAAACTGGCTATCCACATGCAGAAGACTGAATCTAGAGACTCGTATCTCTCTTCATGCTCTAAGCAAAAATCAAAACACATCAAAGACCTAAATTTTGTATCAAAATCTGTGAGAAGATAAAATAGTTAAAATGCTTGATGATAGGAGCATACGTGATATCTTTCTGAACAACTCCAATTACACAACAAATAACATTAAAAATCAATAAATAGAATCATGTCAAATTTAAAAGTTTCTAAACAGGAAACAAAATAAAGAGACAACCTATAGAATGGGGAAAAAATCTGCCACCAATTCCTCAGACAAAGGACTAATATGTGTAATATATAAAGAATGAAAAAAAATTAGATCTCGCCCCAAATAAAAGACCCAATCAAAAAATGGGCAACTGAGGACTGGGGATTTAATTTAGCTCAGTGGCCCTGCACCTGCCTGGCAAACAAGCACAAGGTCCAGAGTTTGATCCCCAGTACCCCCCCAAAAAATGGCAATTGAAATCAAGACACTTTTCAGAAAATTAAGAACAAATGGCTAATAAATACATGAAAAAATGTTAAAAAGTCTCTGGCTAGGGGCCGGGAATTTAGCTCAGTGGTTCTGGTGACTGCCTCGCAAGCGCAAGGACCTGAGCTCGATCCCCGGTACAAAACAAACAAACAAAACAAAACAAAACAAAAACTTCTCTGGCTAACAGAACTGCAAATTAAAACAACATAACAACATTGAGATACCATCTTACTTCAGAAAGAATGGCTATCATCAAGAAATCGAGCATAGTGGTTGGTACATGCCTATAATCCGAGCACTTGGGAGGCTGAGATAGGAGGATCGCTTCAAATTCGAGGCTAGCCTGGGCTATATAGTGAGTTCCAGGGCAGTCTGAACTACATAATGAGAACCTGTCTCAAAAAAAAAAAAAAAAAAAAAAAAAAAAAAAAAAAAAAAAAAAAAAAAAAAAAAAAAAAAAAAAAAAAAAATCAAATACAGTAATAATAATAAATGCTGGGCAAGCTGCAGGCAAAAGGAACTTTTTACATTGATTCGTTGGAATGTAAATTAGTACAATCATTATGGAAATCAGTATAAGAGTCTTCAAAAAAAAACTAAAACTAGGTTGGGGATTTAGCTCAGGGCTTCTGCCACCTGCCTCACAAATGCAAGGTCCCAAATTTGATCCCTGGTACCAGAAGAAAAAAAAAAAAGTAATACCACAGAGACATGATATGATACTACTTCCATAAAAGAAGAGTAGTATTATCTTTTTAAGAAGAGAGGATGTGTATGGGTGCACTTGAGAGAAAAAAGAACATAGTTAGAAAATGTATAATTCTGGGTATGCCATCTAAGGGGAATGTGCATGGGACAGCTGATGCTAGAGTAGAGAAGATAGTAGAAACAAGTATAGGATGGGAGAACAAGAGAAAAAGAACCTGGATCTTTAGAACTTGAGCTGCCACTGAAGCTCCGGCACTCTTCTTGAGAGACTAACGACAGAAGTAAAATAATTGAAAAAAGAAACTCTACCTTATTTAATACATAAGTTTCAAGATTTTTCCTACTTGCATCTTAACTATATACTAATACTTAATAATATACATAATGATGTAATATTGCATATGTGCTACACAGTAAGTTTTCCTCTAAATCCCTACGATATGAAACAAAAAGAACTATGTTCCAAGCTTATTATCTTGCTGTTTCTATTAACTATGCTTAAGTCTATCTTACACTAGCCATGAAAGCTGAGTGCTAATAGTTCAAATTTGAGGATTACATGTTAATAAAATTTATCATGTGTAATAAAATGCAATGCTGAAGGACCTATGGAATACAATCCCAGGTGTCCACAGCACACTACTCTCATTGTTTTCAGATGTTGCAGAATCACTCCACTGAAGGCTTACCTTCAATTTCCCTTCAGTCTGACTTTCTTCTTTTAAATTCATATTGGATGACTGATGGCCAGCATAATTAATATTTTATCTTTCTACATCTTTTCCCCAAGAAGAATATGCCTTTTTGACAGTGAGGCACTGACAGACACCTGGAGTCCAAACTTCATCCTGAACTCTTTTGTCTGGAGTAAGCACTGCTGCTTCTAAATGTTTTTACATTGCTATAACATGTCTATTAAGATATGCTATTCAATTTTATCTAGATAAAAATTTACTTTCACAAATATATTAGAAATCCTACAGATAGCACAATAATTGAGGATAGTTTATAAAACCAATCAAAATGAGTTTAACTGTTTGGCTTAACACTATTACCTACACTGTAAACTATATTTATTCTTATAATGTCCAAAAATTTCACAATAAGTAAAAATTTCACAAAATATGGAAAGAAAAATGTTCAGGCAGAGAGGGGGATGATGTAATTAATTCTTGTATGACTTTCTTATGATATTTGGCACAACTAATCAAATCAGTAATTGACCAACTTATCCCTACTCTCTTTCTCCTAAGAATTCTGGCTTTCCCACTGACGACTAATTGGGCTGTACATTTAGCTAGGATGTGAGGACAATGATAGCAGCCATTTTTGTATAGAAAAAAAAAAGAAAAAGAAAAAAGAAGCCTAAGACACACCAAGCCTCAAAGGTAAAGTAGAACAAAGAAATGGCCTTAGTCATCCATCTGTTTCTATCTTTCAGCATCAATTTACTGTATCTACTAAATTGCATCATCTGCTTAACCGAGCACTTCAGTATAGCTTGACTCTGAAACATACCTGATCAAACTTCTCACTTGTAAATGATCAATCACAAGTAAACAATTCTATTTATATATTGTTATAACACTAAAAGAACCAGCCCCTCTAATTAACCAAAATGTGGAACCCTTTAATTTGTTTCCATTCATGACAAGAATAACCAGTTTACTGCATAACGCCTCCATCCTGAAAAATCACAGCATCACTCACTGCTAATGAATGAGAAAGAAATTAAGGGATGATTAAAATACTAATTCTGAATTTTAGAAACACCATCACATTTGCACTAAAATTTTCATCTTAGAATTTCTTGGCACTTATGTTCTATTTTCTTTTTAAATTTAAAGGTCTTAAGTATGAAAACAATAGTATCTATAGTAGAAAAAGCTGCTGCTTTTCTTGTGCAAGCTACTGAGCTAAGGTGATGAATAGTGTTTATACTGAAAGGCTTGATAACCAAATACTCTAGCCCAAACTTAAAAAAAAAAAAAATCAGTCTAGAGTCACACAGCTTAAAATTTACACTGGGAGAGGTCCTTTTCAAGGAACAAGGATAACTGACCTATGCAATAGCAAATAAGACAACATGCCAAATCAGCGCTCACTACTCAGTAAACTTGCTATTGCCATAAATGTCACAACTACTCCACCAGAGCCTGGACAGTATAGGTTCTATGTAACTTCCACCATAGACCCTTAGACAAGTTTGCCTTCCCTCCACCTATTTTGTTAACCAGCTAGAAAATATTTCTCAATTGTGGGCTTTCCTCAAAGAGAAGTAAAGAAGAGATGTAGTGAAGTAAGTAAATTTGCTCATATCACACAATAACTTACTTTAATGAGTGTACTGAATAGGATTAAGAGTTACTGACAGGTACATACTCATGGTTCAAAAAACACACTAAAGAGTAGAGTAAATAAAGTCACAGCAGGTCTATTATCCAAAGTGTCTCACCTTCACAATATGGTGCACTATTTTAACTGCTAACTAAAACCTCAGCATGTACAATTTAAAAAGTATGGACACTATTCTTATACCCCTTCCTAAAAAAGGAATATATGAGAGTTAGATTTGGGGAACCAAAATATCAACTTTAAAAATAAGTAATATTGCTAAATCAATAGGCAATCGACTTTTTAAATAAAGTCTCTTGTCTAATCTCAATTCAGCTGAAATGTACAACAAATAAAAAGCACATTATGTAAGTTTATTATGGTAGAAAGTGAAAAAGCTCACCTTCTCAATATTTATTTGGTGCTTTCGTAACCTCTCCAGATCTGTTGGGATTACTATCTTAGTGAATTTCTGGATAGCTGGTTCAAGACGGCGTAATTTCACTTTTTCTTCATCTTCAAACATCCTAAAAAATATTTTGTCACTTCCACTTCCAACAGCTGTCTTCTTCACTCATACAAAAACCTAAAAGGCAAACACTCCTTTAAGAATGTTTTAAAATCAGTTTCCATTTTAAAAGTCAACAATTAGATTTTTAATTTATTCTACATATTCAACATAATACTGAACTTGAATGGCTTGTTTTTTCTTTATGAAACCATGTAATTCAAAATCCTTTTCTCTTTATGAAAGTTATGCATATTACTATAGAGTGTTTAGAAAATATAAATAAATGAAGAGAATAAAAATAACAATAATCTCCTCACCCTTAGGTAGCTATTCTACATTTTAATATATGTCTCTGGGCCTTTTCTATGTAAGTACATATGCCTTTTTGTAAAAATTAGGAGTATACAGTTGAAGTTTTTATTTCCTCATTTATATTGGACATTGAATAACTTTCTGTTCCTACTCTATCGGCAGTGGAGAGAGTGAAACAGAGAGAGAGAGAGAGAGAGAGAGAGAAAGAGAGTGTGTGTGTGTGTGTGTGTGTGTGTGTGTGTGTTTTAAGAGAGTGTGTGTGTGTGTGTGTGTGTGTGTTTTACTGGTGAGTAAGCCTAAGGCCTTCACACTGAGCTACATCTCGAGCACTATGTGTACTTTTCATTCTGAGACAAGTTGAATTGTTCACAGTGGGTTTGAACTTGGATCCTCGTGCCTCAGCTTTCTAGAGTGCTGGGACTACAGGTGGCACCAATGGTTTTTAACAATGTTCCAGAAACTCCAAGGCTATGCTGTTGGGCAGAAAGTGAGGAGGTTCCAACCCAACTCTTGCTTCAACCAGATAAAATTTATTTACATCTATTTTGTAAACTGCAGCTTATGAGATCTTATGTGAATAATAGGTCCCACTGCTTAGCCAAACTTGAAAATCACTGTTGTATACCACACTTTCATGCTACCTCACTAGCCACAATCTCTCCCATACTAAAATGTTTGACCAGGATAATCCCACTGAATTATGGTGTTTTAGCCCAGGGATCATATAAATTAAGTGTTCACATATAAGAAAAACAGACTCCATTGGTTTCAAGAGACCCTCAAAGAGATCTGTCACCCCTAAAATATTAAGAACTACTTACTCAACTCTTTCCTGAGAAAATCTAAGAAGATATTATGTACATATACCAGCTCCCATACTGAATATAATCATTAAGTACTACAAATATGTACTAATAAAAAATTTAAAAACCAGGACATCTAAAAAAAGAAAGAAAGAAAGAAAGAAAAAAATGATATGAAAGTAGAAAGACAATAAGAAAACAAGGATCAAGGGAGGAGGAGGAAAAAGAGAAGAGGTCAGTGGGGGGAAATGATTAAACTGTTTTATAAATGTATGAATATGCCAAGATGAAAACACTAGTGTATATAATAACACGCACTAATTTTTTAAAGCCACTACTTTACATATTCTATTTTTTTCCTTTCACAGTTGAAAATTTTCAAGTGTTTGTTACAAATACTGCCTTCACTACTGACCCACTAATAACTTGGTTCTCATGTCTGATACAAGCTCGCAATTAGAGAAAGAAAATTTTTAGGCACCAGAAACAAAGAGGGTAAAACTTCTGCCTTAGTGAATAGAAGTGGAGACAGTCCACAGAACTAACAAGAGAGGAAATTTCATAGCTAAGGGTCTAGAGATAAGAGTAATCTAAAAAGAAAATCACATGTCTATTTTTCAAATATCCAAAGGTAAAAAGGAAGGAATATACTTTGAAAAATGAGATACCATTATGAAACAGTAACAGACAAATCTGAATATAAACCAAGTAAAAAATTAGCATTAAAACCTCAAAAGATCATTTAAACTGTAAACTATACAGCCAAAAAAATTACTGAATGGATATCATTGAGAACAGAGAAATAAAAAGATAAAAACATTAAAAAGAAGATAAGGCACATAAAAGGATAAAATGATGGGCTGAAAAACAAATAAGAGTAAAGAAAATGTTAAAAAGGAATTACTCAGACTATGCTGAGAATTAAAAATATTTTAAATTTCAAACTGAAAGAGCACTTATGTCCCACGCATAAATAAAAAATAAAACACCTAAATTCATGAAAAGAAAATTACAGAACATCAAGGACAAGGAAAAAACCTTACAAAGTAAACCAGGGGGCCAGGGATGTAGCTCAGTGGCTCCTCCCCTACCTGGCAAGCCCAAAGTCCTGAGTTCCATCCCCCGCCAACAAAACCAACCAAACAAACAAAAAAAACAAGCCAGAGATAAAAGACAGATACAAGGGCTGGGCTTTAGGAAGTTGAGACAGGGGAATGTAAGGCAATTTAACATTTGTGGAGATTTTCTCTCAACAAAGGGGGGGTGGGGTGAGTGAGGTTGGGGAGGTAGCTGGGTGTGAAAGCCCACACAATAAAACAAAAATAAAACCATAAAAGCCACATACACCAAAACAACAAAAGCAGGAAACTTAATCAGAGCAGAATATCAAAGGTAGGGATTACTTTAAAGTGCTGAGAAGTTAGAAAAAAAAACCAAGTAAATTATTATTTAAAGTAAAGGTAAAATAATCATTTTCAGAGGAAAACAGAGTTCACTACAGAGCCCTCATTAAAAATACTACTAAAGCCAGGTGTGGCGCTGCACTCCTGTAATTCCAGCAGTGGGGAGGCTGAGGCAGGAGGATCACTGTGAATTCAAGACCAGCCTGGATTACATAGTGAGTTCCAGGTCAGTCTTAACTACATAGTGAGACCCTGTCTGAAAAAAAACAAAAAACCTACTGAAGGCCCAGTGGTTTCGCTAACTGCCTGCAAGTGCAAGGACCCAAGTTTGATCACCATTACCAAACAAAGAAACAAACAAAAACCATTGTAACAATAAAGAAAATAAACTCAAATGGGTGGACAGCTAAGCTAGTTAGAAAATATAAGGTAGTTAGGGAGGGCTGGGCCTTCAGCACAGAAAACAACTGTGGCTGGAGGCACATTCACTGAAGGCCAGGATTCGAGAAAAAGATGAACTACCATACTCATATACTTCCCCTAGGATGAACAGCAGTGATTGATATTATAAGAAAGTATCAATCAACTTAGGTGGGGACCAAAACCTCTGGGCCCATTCCTTTCCAGAAAATCCTGTGCATTCCATGTATGCTTGCTACACTTGCTTCCCCATTTGATTACCATTTAATCCATATTACCTAGGTTACTATACTTATAATCTTATTAGTTTACTACAGTTTTGCTCCACAATGAATGCACCTCATCTTGTGACTTTGCTCAAGAAAACATCCTTGAGAAGAGGGTCAGTGAGCTACCCACTCTCTGGTCCCCCTTCTGTCTCTCTTAGAAGGTATCTTTCAATAAATTTCTCCTACTCTCAACCTCTGTTGTTCCTAGAATATATTCTTTGATTTTAGAGAACATGAATTTGATGTGCTGGACATCTAGCAGGTCATGAGTTATGATATTTCCCTTATATTATTTCGAGGTCCATATATCATACATCCTGCATCAGAATGACAAAGGATTATAAAATGTTTCCATGTAACAATTTCTATTTACAACTTTTTACATTTATGCATATCTTCATAATTTAATCATCTATTTTGGGCTACAAAGGGTGATCCTAATTTTCCACTATTATAAAATCTAGTGTAATTACTCTTCTTACAAATATATCCATACTTTCACCTATGATTCTTTAAATGCCTGGAAATGGAAATACTAAGTAGTCATACTTTTTAAATTTTCTAATATACATATTGTCAAATGTCCCAAAAAAGGGCATGCTGCTTCATATTTCCATCAGCAAGTCAGCACATAGTCCACCTATCCATATTCCTATAAATACAGTGGGTGTTTCCATTCTTCTTAAGACATTTGAATGGAGGAAAAATGGTATCTAATAATTGCTTTAAATGAATCCCTTAAATTACTAATAGGATTGATTTTTTATACATTTACTTCTTTTATGAATTGTCTGCTCATACTATGCATCTGTTTTACTACAGGGCACTTCCATTTTGTGTTAATTTATGAGTCTATTATATGTTAATATATTATTTGTCTAACATTAACAATTCCCAGTTTATTATTAATTATGCCACTTATTTTTGCTGTTACCTTACAGCTTTCTTTCTAGAGTTCCAAGTGATTTTTTTCCAGATCAGAATTACACATGCCTCTGCCCGAATTTTGTGGATATAAGGAAAACCTTCTCTTTCAGGAACAATGATTTCTCAGGGAAGATAATGTGCTTCGTAAACTTCCCAAAGATTTTTCCAATTCTTGCTCTCCTTCTAGCCAGTATGTAAAATTTTTTTCTCTACCATCTTCTATTTTTACAAAATTAAATTCCTGCATAAAACTAAGAACATAAAATTCAAATAACTGCCATATCATGTTTGGAAACAAAATGTTGTTCAGCAGTGGATCTGATCATACATAACTCAAATATTTATAAGTTGTTATGAGAAGATACTAATCTAATATCAAAACATGATTTAGAAGTGTGACTGAATAATGAGTAAAAATATATTTCATCATTTCCAGATTTCTCAGTTATAAAAATGCAATATATTTCTGATATAGTCAAAGCATGAGGAAAGTACATTTACATTAAGAGCTCACCTGTATAAAATACTTCAAAAAAGACAATAAAACACAAAAATGCCTAATTCCCCAAATTTCTGTGAATTTGTTTTTTTATTATTTAAAAATAATAAAATATTTGGTATATGGAATTATTCTTCCACTATGACTGTAGTGGCATATGCACAACTATATGCACTTGTCAAAACCTATAAAGAACTATATATCACAAAGAGTGAATGCTGCTGTATATAAATTTTAAAAGAACATGACATGGGGGAAACCCCAAATGAAATATAAACTATCAAAAATAAGATCAGCCTCACTATAAATGACTAGCATAACAACAGCATGGAAATAAATGGAGAGTATTTCAGAAAACAATATTTCACTGAATACTAACAAGGCTAAAGACAAAAATTCTTCACATATACCAGCACTATATGTTTCTCTCAAGCATATATGTTAGAAATCCCAAAATTACTTTAAGTGTATATGAGGACTGAACAAATAAATATTTTACAGAACACGAGTGCCAGTTTTTCACTGTCAGAAAATGAAGTTACAAATAAGAGACAAAACTATGATGAATCCAGTCATGTTAGTGTAGAATCAGTTATTAGGCTGAACTTTGTATTTTAAAAATACGCAGGTAAATACAGAAATAGAGATCTTATTGTATGCATAAGTGTGTATGCACATACACTGCTGCCTTCTTCCAGGCTCTACAAACAATAACACTCAGTATTAATGAGCACACCTACAACAAATATCTTGGTGTCTAAATACCTTTTTCCAAGAAAAGAAATCACAAGGTCCCTGGAGAAGTGACTGATTCCAGGTCTGGGGCAGGGAAAATACAAGAGGGCATGGAGCACCTTATGGTGCAAAAATAGAAGTTCTCTAAAAATAAGAGAGGCCTGTCAGAAGGGTACAAAAAGCAACCCGAAAAAAATTCCCAATCATCCAGGCTGGGTGAATTTGAGACATAAAATGAATAATAAAATAGAAAAATAACTAATTTAGTTTATACTTCTACAATAGCTGAATACAAATAATAAATGGGGAAAATGGACAGCTCCTTCTTATAGAAGAATTACAATTAAAAAATACAGAAGGAATGAGAGAAATAGAAAAATCACAATTAGAACCTCACAGTATTAATTATTGAAGGCAAGATCCACTAGTGGATGCTAAATTTATGAAGGGAAATTTTGCAGACATGATATTGCTGAGTTTAAAAATGTCTTCCTAAATATAAATTCAGGTAAAACAATACTTTTGTATGGGAGAATCCCAGCAGATACCATCTTAACCAAATGATCAAAATTACTATCACAAGCAGGGCTGGGGATTTAGCTCAGTGGTTCTACCACCTGCCTTGCAAACGCAAGGTTCTGAGTTTGATCCCCAGTACCCCCCCAAAATAAATAAAAATAAAATCACAAGCAGTAAATCATATCACGTGCCCTGATGGGAAAAACTGAAAAGGGCAGACATACTTTTGTGGTATTAATAAAAATGCATAATCTTAATCTAATCATGACAAATTACTGGACAAGCACCATTTGAACTCTTCAAAAGTGCAAAGGTCAAGAAAGGAAAATACTGAGGAACTGTCACAACACAAGACATGAAGTAGCCACGACAACTAAATGCAATGTGTGGGTGTTAGATTGGATTCTAAAAAACAGAAAGTGCATTCCCCCAAAATAAAAAATATAAATAAATAACGACACTTTAAATGCTCAGTAATAGTATTGTTCTAATAATTTCTTTAGATAACGGTAGTATAGTATGTAAAATGTTAGCATTAATGGAAGCTGTAGAGGACTCTTCATTACTTTTTGAAACTTCTGTAATTGTAAAAATATTTCAGTATGTTTTTAAATAATGTACAAGAACTAAAGTTTCATCGGATGTAGTGGCACACATCTGTAATTGCAGCACTAGGAAGATTGGGGCTGCAGATCGCTGAGTTTGAGGCCAGCATGGGCTACATAGTGAGTTCAAGGCCAGCCTGAACTACATAGTGAGACCCTGTCTTAACCCTCCCTTCAAAAAATTAAAGCTTCACAAAGACATAAACATTTAGAAGTCATAAAACTGCAGTCATTGTCATTGCACTAATATCTGCAGGAAGTAGCCAGATGTGTGCCAAGTGCTTTACAAACTCCGTCATTTAGCGCTTACAACCAACATGAGTACTTGTTACTGATTTGGGGGAGGTATTCCTGTTTAAGAAAATATCTCAAAGGGTTATTTATAAGTGAAAAGTCCTATTTCCCATAAAAAAGTACAAAATCGTTGGCAACATTACAGCTTCAAAGAAACACTCAGAGGTGCCATGTGTGGGCGTGTCAGTGACACCCCATTTCCTCAGGCTCGTCCTTTGTGTTAGCCTGAAGCAAGAAGAGAACCTGGAAAGACAAGGCTCTTGGTCTCACTGTGTGGTCTGCTCTGTGAAAGGACAACTGAAAGGTCAGAGCTAGGTGTGAGACCTTCTGCGAATCACCTCCTGGTCTGGCTGACGGGAGGTTGCTGGCTCTCGCTCCCAGACCTCTGTATTCCAGGGGGTCGCGTCAGCCCTCGCAAGTCCCCTATGGCACACCTGGGCCACACACACCAGACGCTCCCACCAGCGAACAGCTGGGCAGGCCAGCCCCGGACCGAGACCCAGTGGCTTGGGGCCTGCAGTCTGTCAGGGCCGAGCAGGCTCCAGAAACTTTGCCACCCGCAACCCGGGAAGCCATCGCTCTCGCCAGGTCCTCGGCTTCCCTTAAACTCGTTTGGAATAGCTCTTCCAAAATCGAAACCGCCCCGGGCTGCGTCAGTTTTGGTGCCGAAAGGAGACCCCCACAGGGTTCACACTTCCGAGCCACGGCCCCGCTTCCCGCCGACACCTCTCCCCGCGGGGTGTGGGCACCCAGCCCCTGGGGCCAGTGCGTTGCCACCTGCTTCGCAAG